AAAGAAACATCAAGAAAAAAAAAAAAAAAAAAAAAAAAGACTTATTGTGGCATTTCTTCTCGTGACAAAATCTTACACTGGTTTCCTGACTTCTTTAACATCATGTGGAATGGTCCGAAACTCAGGAATTTGCTTCTCAAATAATCCCTCCTTTTGTAAGATCCAAAGGGAGCAGATGCCTGGCAGCTGCAGCTTAAGAGTCCACGACAGATTAAAGGAAAGTGTCCAGCTGGAAACAGCTGCTCTCTGGAGCCCCACCCTGAGGGAAGCCAGAGGACAGGCTGAGGGGAAAGAACTGGCCAGGACATCAGCCACTCTGGAGTACCCATATGTGTGGGACCTAGAGCTGCAGGAGGGACACATTGGTGTGCTTTTGTCAGCACAGCCTTCCCCAACACTGTTGCCACATCTCCAGCAGACCCCTTATTGCCAAGGGCATGGCTGTGTAACCACTGACAGCAGCAAAAAGAGTCATGTCCCCGTGGTGATAATGAATAGAAATTACAAGACTAATAGTGATGATTATCAAACACATTCTAATGCTATACTTGAAAGAAATGCTTAACAGCTTTGAAGAACGGCATGAATTAAATGAGGACTTATTTTTATTGACATGAATTTCTTATTAGAATAAAACTTTATGACATCAGGATTCTTAAAATATTTCATACCTTAAAGTATACAATAAATTTTTATAGTGAATTTTGTACCTATATACCATATCTCGATTTTTTAAAAAATCGAGTTTTATGTCAATTTGCTTATAATCAGAAATGTGTTGTGTTTGACTTATGTATATATGCAATATCATTAAAATTATTATAAACATAAAAAGCTTAAACGTTGAGTTAAGATGAAATTTATTTGTAATATCTTTTTTTTTTTTTTAAAGGCAAGAGTCTCACTCTGTCGCCCAGGCTAGAGTGCAGTGGCACAATCTCGGTTCACTGCAACCTCTGCCTCTTGGGTTCAGGTGATTCTCCTGCCTCAGCCTCTTGGAATTACAGGTGTACACCACCATGCCCAGCTAATTTTTTTTTGTATTTTTAGTAGAGACGGGGTTTCACCATGTTGGCCAGTCTGGTCCAAAACCCTGGACCTTAGGTGATCTGCCTACCTCGGCCTCTGAAAGTGCCAGGATTACAGGCATGAGCCATCATGCCCGGCTGTAATACAATTTCTGTATCTATAAAAAATTATTTCAGAAAAAATTCTGGAAAATAATGTCTTTCTTATGTGACAGTGACCCTCCAACTCATCATCACTAGTGTAGAATGGACTTTGATTCACTTTCCTATCTACAGTAATGTTTATTAAACATACATGTGCCTTTCTAACTTCAACACGTGATCATTTAAATAATGACCTGTTGAATTGTGATGCTTCCTCCCATGACAAAATCTTAGACATATTTTTGCATATAAAGGCGGTCTGTAACCCAAAGCTAGTTGGTGGGAGCTCATATCTGCAACCAGGACCTAAGTGACAATTTTTAACCTAAGGAAAACGCAATGGTCATGATGTTTCCTAGAATATGTATCACTTACTCTATCAAATCTAAGACACCATTAACTTTAAGAAACCATACATCCATTATTTTGTGTGCCACCACAAAAACAACTTCTGCCAACTAAACTGACACAATTCTTTATTATCACATCATTTGTAAGATGCATCCCAATTTCAGAGATGTTAAAATGTAGAGGGAGAAAGTGAATCTTAGAATCTGTGAAATACATCCTAGTATACAATGAAATGTTAATTGGGATGTGATTTTTACATATCAGATTTTCTAAAGGCAGATCACTAAAGCATCCTGGTTGCTTTCATCCTCCTTTTGCAGCCTCTTTATCCTTCCAGATGTCATCTTACATCCAGTTTCCACCATCTGCTGATTCCACCCCCTCCCATCCCATAGTGTTTTCACAGACTTCTTATAGAACAACACAGAAGAAAAGCAAACAAGGTGACAAGATTGTTCACCACACCAACCTCTCCCTTGTGTTGTGGGCACAGACCAGGACCAGCACTGAGAGCTTCTAGCGACTCTGGAGGCCAACCCTGGAAATACATGGCCCTAAAAAGAAACCAGAGTTTACAAAACTTACTAGATTCCTTTAATTCCTGCCCTCATCGTCTTTTGCCTAGATTATTGCAACTACCTCCTAATTGAGCTTCTGCCTCTAGCCTCACCCTTTTGTGATACATCTCTCAGACTTCAGCCAGTGATCTTTTTAAGCCACAGTCTGTCTGTGTCACTGACCTTCATTTACTACTTGTAGAATTAAGTCCTTTAATGTAGCATAAAAAGACCAGTAATGATCCAGCCTCATATACTGTCTTCTCCAGTAATTCCAATAACTAAACATGTTGTTTTCCCCCTCAGTGCCTTTATTCATGCTCTCCCTTTGCCTGTCACGTCCATCCCCCACCTTCCATGCCTATAAATCTCCTGTTCATCTTTCAGCATCTAGTTCACATTGTCATCTCTACTGGAGGCCATCTTAGACACTTCTCCCTCTGTGCCTTCCCTCATACCAAGGATGTGTCTCCATTGTGCTTGTCACACTGTATATTAAGGTATTTGTGTCCTTAACCATGAGTTCCTTGAGAGCAGAGACAGTGCCTGACAAATAGCTCAAGAAATGTTTTATTAGTGTTATTTTGGATATCAGTGATCAGTTTATTTCTCCCCAGCCACTTCCCCTCCTCCCCCTACCCCTTGATCTTACATGACCTGTCTGTGCTGGGCTCTTCCAAGGTTGAAAGTAGATGAAAGAGTCATTTGGGTCTCTGCATTCTCTTTAGTGTCGGCATCCCATCCAAGCAGACTCTGACTGTTTCCCCAGCCCTGAGCTACATCCTGTCTGCCTCTTCCAACTCTTTAGATGTTTCCCTTTCAAAAAAGACCATTTCTGTCAGATTATCTCATCAGATGCTGACAAGCTAGGGAACAAATTCTGTTACTGCTCTTTTAGGAAGAAAGTTGGCTCCTAACTGCTCTGCAGTTTGGTGTTTTAGAGAATTGGCGTTACCTTAATCTCCTTTCTTTTAGAAAGTTTTAACAGTTTTTGATAAATCTCATAGAGAATCCAACTATACAGCTCTTTGCTCTTGGATTTTGAAAAGCCCAGATTCCGTTCTACACAGTTGTGTTGTTCTGAAATGAAACTGGCCAGCTGTGCTAATAACCATGTCCAGCTATCAACTGAAGGTTGCTGCCAAATGACATCATAACCTAAACAACGGAGATAACACAACAAAGAAAAAGGCCAGGTGGAACATTCCCTCTCATATAAATGTTATCCAGTAGGGAGAAATGGGGCAGCCAGAGCAGTGGAATTGTCAGAGTGGACAGTGTGGCTTTCCAGATGGGCAGTGGTTGTGAATATTCAGACGCGTTTTGTGAACTAGCATCATTAGTGAGAGGCTTGATTCTGAAATACTGTCTGTATTTTCTCTAGGCTGCTGTTAAGTTCTTTCGTGAAAAATAATGTATCTGGCCACCTCACATAGAGATGTTTGCTGCAACCTTAGCCGCCTAGTAGCTGCTTTAAATGGGTTCAGAACGTGGGTTAGAAATTTTCCAAATGGCTTGTTTTAGGCACCAAGATAATTCTTATGGTTCCTAATAAGTGTCTATCCAGTCAAATTCTTTAAACTGCTCTTACGTTTTGACCCATATACAAAACTAACAATTTGTTTTCTTACCTATTAGAAATACGAACTTGAAAAACAGGGAACATTATTTACATTTAAAAAACAAGAGATAAAACTTATTTGTCCAGCAAATAATTATAGCCATTAACACCTGAACTCATCCACTCAGGGCTTGGAAAGGACCCTCACCTCAGATGGGACCAAGCCACTGCCCTCCTGTAAGGAACTGGACAGAAATGCCAATGTCAAGAGTTCCAAAATAAAATTGAAAATACACATAAGACAAGCCATATATAGAACTGGTTTAAGAGTGCAGATATCTTCTAAAGTATTACTTAAAGGTTTATCTTTGTAGAAATTACAGGTAGTTTTGATTTTGCATATGACTCAGTAATGGATAAATTTGGCCATATCCAAAGATAAAATGCCATAATCTGCATTTAAGTGGAAAAGAATGCAAGTGTCCATTTGATGTAAATTTTATTTGCTTCTCTGAATCGATTTTAATGTTTGCAAACTGCAGTATCTGTGCCTGCTAACTATTATCATTTTCTGATTTATTATTGGAGTAGGAGGCTATAATAAAAGGAGGATCTGCTAACCACTACATCAATTTTTAAGTTAATTTGGAAAAAAAAATCTTTATACTCTTTCTTTAAAATGAAGTATAACTCATACATTTTCTAACGGTGTTTTCCATCCTCCTTACCCGCATTTTTTTTTAAACTATAGACCTATACACCTGAGATCCCACAGTTAAATGAAACAAATACTTATTTGTTAAAAGACAGACTTCGTTTCTCTAAATTCCTCTTTCTGCTGTTGAAATGATACTCTGAGGACACAACAGGCGTTCATAAAATCTCCTTTGTATCAGAGATAATATTGTCAGTGGACAGTGGCACAAGAATAAGAATGTGTCTGTGTTTTTCCTGATGTGTCTCTTAAACTCACTGTAGCTATTTTTACCTGTGACTTCATTATTTTATATTCTGAAGAAAATAAGTATTTGTCATACCTCTTCTCCCATCTTTAAGACTGCTACCTTGAATAATTCTAAACCTTATATTTAAAAAAAAGTGTTGCAAATGTGTCAGAAACTTCTGTATCAACTCATGAAGAAAAAGAATGAAAACTGGCCCAAGACCTTGGGCTGCAATTCCTAACGTTGATTCTCTAGGCTCAAGAGCCCAAGAGTAGAGCTTGGCTGGAGGTAGTTCCCAGCTAATTCTTAAAAAAAAAAAAAAATTCTTTATCTCTGCAAAGACTCTTGTCTTTAGATTCCACCCACACAGAAAGTTTGTAGCTAGGAAGAGGTACCAAACGAAAGGTACACCTAAGCAGAGCAGACAGTCTGGTTAGGGAAAATGAAACCAAGTGAGTTTGATTAAAGGTGATTTTTCAATAGATTATAATTGTCCCCAAATATTGTGAGGCAATTTAAATGTGTCCTTATTATTTTTCTTTAGAACTTTTGTTTATGGAAAAGGTGGCAAAAATCGTTATTCTTAGAAGTAGCAATACATTAATGAAACACAGGGATATGTCACGTTTAACACTGAGCACTACAGAGGACAAAGAAGCACCTCTCCTCAGTCTTTGTTCTCTGCCCTTAGCCCTAACAGCTGCAGCCGGAAGGGGCAAACTGGAGGTGTGCCGTCTGCTCTTGGAACAAGGGGCAGCAGTGGCCCAGCCAAACCGCCGAGGGGCAGTGCCGCTATTCAGCACTGTGCGCCAGGGCCACTGGCAGGTAAGCAGGTGGCCAGTACCAGTCCCTCAGGCAGGACTGAGTTCTAAGTCAGGACTTCTGATGCAGAGAGCAGAATGATCACAAGTAAAGTTTGGGTTACTCAGCAGTGATCAGTTTGGAGACTTGGACCTTTGTTATGAATATTCTGGTTAATTGAGCATGTGACAGTTAACATTCAAAACCATCACTTGATATAGATTGTATAGAAGGACTAACTACTTTTGTCCAGATAACAGAGTGATCTCCTTCTCACATTTTACAGTATCCAAAGACTCCTTGGAAGGTTCATTTCTCAGCAGACTTCTGCTAGTCACTTACTTGCAAGTATCTGAGACTTACTGAAAGAAAATGCAGTGAATGCAAATTCTAGTGATACAGTCCTTTTAGATGTTTGGATTCTGGATAAATGTTAATTTATACACTTGGGATGGAAAAGAAAGCACACTGATAATAATCTTCAGAAGTATTTGAATAGAAAAAAGGCTGTAGAAGCCAAACAGCCCTAAAGAGTTACCAGAGACACTTTACTATGTTCTGTTCAGTTGGAAGTATTAACTGCAGGCAGATTTGCAACCACTAGAGGGCAATAAAGGAGTGATTTATGTTAGAATTTCCACCATGAAATTGTTTAATCTACATCTTGACCTTTGTTAATTTCTTTTTTTACATGGTGGCTGAGTCAAGGTATTCAGAGTTGAATCCTTCTCATTTGGCTGTCCCTAAGAGAGTTAGATATTAAATCACATGGTACTAGGACTATACAGGTACTTATACGGGGTTCTTACAGTGGAAAGATACATATAGAGGTGACTTATACAGCAGTAGGAATTCGTACAGAGTAAGAGATATTGTGCACATGTCTTCTCAGCAGCTCTTCTTTGGGTAATTGGTTCCTGTTTCTCTGCACTTGCAGATTGTTGATCTTTTACTCACCCATGGAGCTGATGTCAACATGGCAGACAAGCAGGGCCGCACTCCCCTGATGATGGCTGCCTCCGAAGGCCATCTAGGAACTGTGGACTTCCTACTTGCACAAGGTTAGTCTTGGGATGCTAAAGCTGGCTGGCTAGTGCCCGTAATTACCTGGTGAACTCATGATTTCCAGCAATGGTTCCCAGTAGATACGAAGAACAGATATTAATCCAGTTGGTTGGAAAATGAAATGCTATCTCCTCCCATCTTGTATTCAGTGGAACGCTTCTAACTCTGACACTATTTCTTTATGACTTGAGGAATTTAAATGAAATTAACATATTGTAAATTCTCATTCAGATCAGTAGTCTCCAAATTTTGATTTTTAAAAAATATATACTCAATAAGTGTTCATCTTCCAGGGATTGTGTTTTGACTTTAACTTTATCAATTCTTTTGTAAGCCTGCACAACTAATATTTTTCTTGAATTCAAAGGTGGCAAATTGCAGTGAAGACCCCTGCTGACTGTGGAATCCTATTTGGGGAATCAAGATTATTACCCTGTTATAATAAATTCCCTTTGACAGTTACCAACATCCACAAATTCCTGGTGAATGGGAAATAAGTTAAAGGAGACAGTGGTCACACCACCATTGTAAAGCACATCAGGCTCCCGTTGCTTGCTGTGACCTGTGCCTAACGGTGGCTGCTGATGGTGGACCTCTGTAGTAGAAAAAGCTCGTCACTGGTGACTCTGCAGTGCCATCTAGTGGAGCTTGAGCATTTGCATGAAGCAAGAGACAGAGGCAGTCATTCCAGTTAGCCTCCACTATTAGTAAATTGGACCCAAACATCTGTAATTATATCCACAAGCACATGTACTTTCCTTCAAGGAAACCAACCTCCTGAACAATGATGCCTAGGCCACAGCACCTGAGGGTAGTTTAATTAGAAAGAAATTAGGTTTCTTCTAAGATTTCAAACTACAGCTCAGTCAGAGACTTATGCTGGATCCGTCAAGTAAGATTTGTTTCCTCAGACTCAAGGCTGGGTCAGAATCAGAGAGTTACTCTTACAGGTTGTGAAGTGGCTCTTGGTTCCCCCATATAAGCTACCAAAGAAATTTGCCTTCATGATATTTATCTTCATTTCTACTGGGGAAGGCAGGAAGGAGGAAGGATTGCCTAGATTCTCAAGATAAGCTGTGTCAGGAGTGAATACTCCAGAACAAACCAAGTCCACTGAAAGAGGCAGGACCTCTTGAGCCACTGATAACCTTTAGATAGATAGCTGCAAAGTACCTGTCATGTGCCAGTAGAGGCTCCGTGGCCACAGATTCCAGGTATTTTTTTCATTCACCAATGGAGAGATTTTCTTCTTTGGACTGTTTCATTTTTTTCTGCACTTAAATGAGAGGCTTTCACTAAATAATGAATTCAACAAAGATTTATTTAGTCTATGTCATTAGCACAAATAGTTCCTATACTAGGAACTATGAGTAGTTCTGATTTTAATTAATGCACTATAATCTGTGCCCTCAAAGGGTCTACAATGTGGCAAGGAAGAGATAAAGATAAATACCTTAAAAAGCAGAGAATCCCGAGTGCTCTGATAAAGGGGTACTTTGAGTTAGACTAGGACAGGCTTTGAAATTTGAATAGGAAAAATGTCCTAGATTTAGGGAGAGGATGTAACATAGATGAAAGGCCAAAGAGGAGTAACAGGTTTGGCGAAATATGCGAGCTGTCTAGTAAAGTGTAAGAGTACTACAGAAAGTAAAATTGCAAAGGTATATGGAAAGAAATGAAAAAGGACCATGTTAAAAGAATCTGGACTTAATTCTAAAAGAATCTGGGGAGGCTTTAAAATTTTTTAAATAAGGAATTGATGCCAGAGCATGCTTTAAAAACAATCACTCTGGCAGTATGTGAGCAGTAGATTTGATAAAGGAGCCAGGAGATCAGTTAGGAAGCCATTGTAATGAAACAGATGAGCCATAAAGAGGTCCTAACCCAAGGACAGTAGCTTTCAGAATAGAACAGAAGGGCTATGTGCAAGAGGTGTTTTGGATATGAAGCCTGAGTAGATGTAGGAAGTAAGGATAGAAGAGTTAAAGATAACTCCAGAGTTGTAAGATGGATGTTTGGGAGAATTGTGATTTCATTAACTGCATGAGAGAAAAGAGGAAGATTGCAAATTGGATTTTGGAAGTATTTAACATATTATGGATTTGTTTCATATGTAACTCCTTTTCTTATCTTTGGAAAAATCAGTTTCTTTAATATACATCCAGAACTTTCTTATCCTACTTCTTTCCACCATTGGAGACTTTGTCCAGGGAATTTATAGATGTTGCATCTGAAAAAAACTCCTTGGATTCTCTTCCATATTTAAATTTATTCCACATTAGAGTCAATGTTTTAATTGCAAACTGTACCCTTACCTAAATGGCTCTCATCAGGATTAAGGTATGGTCCCTTCCAGCTTTTCATCCTGCTGTGGGAAACCACAAACTCTACTGACTTCCAGGAATGCAAATGTGGTAGGCTAGATGACTGCTGAGTAAACCCTGAGCCTGCTGTGGCAGGTCCTAAGCTTGAGCTGACATCTGAATCCTGTCCAGCTGAGGGGGCAGCTAAGTGTCCTGGTGCAGTAAGTTGATCTCTGATGTAGTTAAATACGGCATGCCTACTGTGTGAAAAGAGTTAGGTACTCTTCAAAACTAGCAAATAAATAATAGGCTCCTTGTCATCGAAGGCCTTACAGTCTGGGCCTTGACCAAACGTATATTGGATTTTAGACTGATTACAAAGCAGCATGTCAGGTGTGCGTGATTCTTTCAAGTGAGAATAGAAACGTTGAAAGGAAACATGCACAATATGAAGGAGTGCGTGGAGAATGTAAAAAGGAAGGTGGAGTTACTGAATAAGACTGAGGAGTTTAAACTCTGAATTTCTTGTTTGTTGTATTTGTTTTTTGTTTTTGTCTTTTTTTTTTTAGAGGCAAGGTCTCAGTCCATCACCCAGGCTGGAGTTCAGTGGCCTGGTCATAGCTCACCAAAGCCTGGAACTCCTGGGCTCAAGCGATCCTCCTATCTCAGCCTTCCTAGTAGCTAAGACTACAGGCTCACACCACCACAACTGGCTAATTTTTTAGTTTTGTAGAGACAGAGTCTTACCATGTTGCTCAGGCTGATCTCAGATTTCTGGCCTCAAGCAATCCTCCCCACCTCAGCCTCCCAAAGTGCTGGGATTATAGAAAGTCACTCCATGCAGCCAAATACTTAATTGACAAGTAAAAATTGTATATGCAGTTATGTGTTGCTTAATCATAGGGATATGTTCAGAGAAATGCATTCTAAGAAATGTGTCCTTAGGTGATTTTGTCATTTGTAAACATCACAGAATGCACTTACACAAACCTAGATGGTATAGCCTATTACACACCTAGGCTGCATAATATACAGCCTGTTGCTCCTAGGCTGCAAACCTGTATAGCCTATTACTGCACTGAGTTACTGTAAACACTTGTAACACAGTGTGGTATCTGTGTAGCTAAACATGTCTAAACATAGACAAGGAACGATATTTATGCTGAACAATATTTATGGTTTATACAGGTTGTGTATCCCTTATCTGAAATACCTGGTTGTATGTTCTGTTTCAGAAGCGTTTCAGATTTGGGATTTTATTTTTTGCATTTTGACTATTTGCATTATACTTACTGGTTGAACATTACTAATCCAAAAATGTGAAATCCAAAATGCTGCAATGTGTATTTCCTTTGAGTTGGCGCTCAAAAAGGTTCAGATTGCGGAGTGTTTCTGATTTTAGATTTTCAGATTAGGGATACTCAAAGCTGCATACATATACACTGTGGAATGGTTAAGCCAAGCTACTTTACGTGTGCATTACCTCACACACTTACCCATTTTTCTTCTGGTGAAAATGCTTAAATTGTACTTTCATAGCAATTTTCAGTTGTATATTATTAATAACTATCACTCTGACTATAGTTAAGAACTATAGAGTAGATTTAGTGTACTAGTTAGTAACTAATACAGTAGATCTCTTGAACTTATTTCTTCTAAGTGAATTTTGTGTCTTTGACCAACATCTCCCCAGTCCCCTCTCATCTCCTAGTTTCTGGTAACCACCATTTTACTCTGTGATTCTATGAATTTAACTTTATTAAACTCTAGATTTCTTTTGTGGCCTGAGCTCAGTGTCCTCTCCCGTGTTTATTTCCCCCACCTGTGGAGGGAGAAATGGCCTGGCACTGTGATCAGTGACAAACATGTCCTGGGCTCCTATTTGAGGAGACTGTCTCAAGGAGTTAGCACCATTATCAATGGAAAGCTTCTGCTCAGTTCAGAAGTCATTCACTGAGCTCCAGTGTAGTGAGGCTGAGGCAGGCGGATCACTTGAGGTCAGGAGTTCAAGACTAGCCTGGCAAACATGGTGAAACCCCGTCTCTACTAAAAATATAAAAATTAGCCAGAGCTGGTGCTGCATGCTACTTTGGAGGCTGAAGCAGGAGGATGGATCGAACCCAGGTGGTGGAGGTTGCAGTGAGCCGAGATCGGGCCACTGCACTCCAGCCTGGGCAACAGAGCAAGAGTGCAAAAAAAAAAAAAAAGTAAAAAAGAAGAAAATGCTCATTGAGAATTTATTACCTGCAAATAGGATACATAAGAATAGATAAATAATGGAGTAAGTTGACTTACGTTAAGCATATTTAAGATGAGGTAACAGTGAACCATGAGAAGCTTCTTAGAGGCAGGAGGATGGAGATAGTTCCTGGAGGATGGGAAGAAGTGATGCAAGTCTTGGGAGAAGAAGAGCTCTTCCACATAGGGAGCAACGTGACCGAGAGTGAGGATGCAGGAGGATTTCTGGGAGCCTCGAGAGGCAGTGAGCACATCCATTTGGCTGAAGTAGAGGATTCTCACAGGGGAATAATAAAACTTAATTATAGAGAGTAATTGGGAATAGATTGTGGATGACCTTGAATACCCAATGAAACAACTGGAATCTGTGTTAGTGAAAGCTTGTAGGATGAACTTTTAACAGTTTTATTGAGACATAATTGGCATACCAGGATCAGTCTTAACATGGAAGTAGTCCAGAAGCAAGCGGTGTCATTTGGTGGAGCATGCCCCTTCAACACACTTCCCTGCCTGCTGTGCGTTTCCGTGTCTCCTCAGCCCCGTGCTATCACTTGCCTTTGCAGGTGCCTCCATTGCTCTCATGGACAAAGAAGGATTGACAGCCCTCAGCTGGGCTTGTTTGAAGGGCCATCTCTCAGTAGTACGTTCTCTGGTGGATAACGGAGCTGCCACAGACCATGCTGACAAGAATGGCCGTACCCCACTGGATCTGGCAGCTTTCTATGGTGATGCTGAGGTGGTGAGTTCCTTTAAACAAGCCTCGGGAGAGTAGGGAGAGGGGCTGTTCTCCATCCATACTAGCTGGGGTCTAAAGTGGAGTGCGGTACTGATGATTCCTGATACAGAGCGCTCAGATCTATACCTGCCAGAGAACAGGAACATTCAAATTGCTACTGAAGATCAAGAATGTAGCTAAGGCCTGAAATATCATGGCTCCATAGCCTGGTTCAGGCCAGCAGTCGAAGGGCAGGCAGCAGCCAGAGCCCTTGGTGGAACAGTGCTGAGCCATGCCTGTCCTAACTGCTCTGCTTGATCCGTGTCCTAGGTCCAGTTCCTGGTAGATCATGGGGCCATGATCGAGCATGTTGACTACAGTGGAATGCGCCCTTTGGATAGGGCCGTGGGGTGCCGGAACACCTCTGTGGTTGTCACTCTTCTGAAGAAAGGAGCCAAGATAGGTAGGAGAAGGGAAGAGGGTGTTGGCCATCTGTGCCCAGGGGCCAGACTGGTCCAGTGGTCTGGCTGCCCTGGGTATTTGGTGTGAGCGTATATAGTTCCCCCTCCTCCCTGGCCCAATTATTGTCCAAGTGAACAGAGAGGCTCTTAGCCCAGAGAAAGCACCATCCAAGCCATGGTCTGCAGTCCCCTGTGTCCTGAACCACATGGTTCTCTACCATGTCCCTTGTAGCCTTAGCCAGGAGGCTGCTCTGGCCTTAAGCACCTCTCAGCACTGCCTCTGTTCCAGCCCCACCCTGTCAGCATCCTGGATCTCTGCACTGCGTGAGCCTTTGCTTTCCCTTGCTCTGAATGTGCTTCAGACTCAAGTCCCTGCTGCCGCTGTCCCAGCTGCTCCCCGAGCCCACAGACCTGTAGATGAGGGTTGGCTGATATGCTGGCTTTGTGCTGCCTGCCTCTCACTGCTGCTTTTTCCTTCTTTTTTTTTTTTCACCTTCATCCATTTTTTTTTTTTCCTCTCCTACAACTTTTTGTTTTCTCCTTTCTTTGAAGGTTGTCAGACGTTACCGAGTCGCCCACGAGGTATATTTCACCGCTGTCAGCATCAGGCGTGGTCTGATGGCTTGGTCAGCTTTGCCTTCTCCTCTTTGGTTTAGCCTGCATGAGTTCCCTACACCTCTAATCTTTTAATTTACTTCACCTTAAAAGAAGATTTTTTTTAATGACTGTTGTAGAGAATAACTTGAACTTTTGATAACTAACCTTGAAAAGCATAGTTTGTAAATAATTCAGGCATTTGTAAACTAATCAATTTAACCTTTTCTTTCTTTTTGTGGGTAAAGTCATCCTCAGTAATGTTGGTTTGTTTCATGTCTGATTGACATTCGAACTGTGCTCCTGCTTCAAAGTGAATCTCAGGGAGTCCTAGCTGGTACTTACCATCTAAGGGAACCTTTAGAACTATTAGTGGTTTCCCTTCTGCAAAGTACATATTTTAAAGTTAAGTGGCTAAACATCTGGGGGTTTTGAGTCCCAAACCCAAAATAAATTACCCTCTTTGAACTTTTCAAATCCTGCAGTAATACTTAATATAAATCCTTTCTCCCAATTTCCTTATTTAACATAATTCCAAACTAAGCCATTGCCTGCCCACATGCAGCATGCAGGCTTTGCAGCCCTCACGTGGGGCAGGCTCACATGGTTCCAATATTCTTATTTTAAGGTGAATACAAATCCAACACAGCTTCTTAGCAGTGGGAGTCACTAACATACTCCCAGGTCTAAAAGATGAGGTCACGATTGTGGAGCAAGTTGTTCTCTCAGCAGAAATTCCCCCAGGGTATTTTTTTCACCTAGCTTCCTACCACCCTTACATTGTATGAGTTTTTTACCCATCATGCATCCTGTACACTACAGGTCCAGCCACATGGGCGATGGCCACCTCCAAGCCAGACATCATGATCATCCTGTTGAGCAAGCTGATGGAAGAGGGGGACATGTTTTATAAGGTGAGGGGAGGGAGGGACACAGTTTCTTCAGAACAGCCATTCACTGTTTCCTACGTGTAGAATCTTCCAAAGTCTTGATAATTCTCACCCTTGGTTGTAGAGGCAAAGGGAGAAAACTATTCCTCAGCGATGGGCTAATGTGTTGGGGATCCTGGGGTTCTGCCTTACCAAGAGAGCAAGAGTAGCCTACACTCGCCTGTAGCTGATCGACCTAAGGCCCTAGTTTTCCCTGGTCACTAACCGGTGGTTATGTAGATTTTTACATGGAATCTGCTAGGTAGGATTTGGAGATTCATGGGACAAGTAAAAATAAAATTACATAGTATAGCTATTTCCAGTATGTTGATCTTAACTTTCATACGTCATAATATATACGTAGATTACAAAGTATATCGTAACAATAGCTTATCAGCATCCTTGAGTAAGAAAAGGAAACCAAGACAAATAACAATTAGAAGATATGTTTGAAATCATGCACTGAATGACAACAACAAAAAATGTGGAGTCTTTTTGTACTCACAGTTCAAGCTGAAGTCTCCATACCCTGAACACAAATAAACTCCCTTGGTCTGTTCCATGTCAAAGCCATTGCACTGTGTCGAGATCAGCTGGATTATCCTCTCCTGAAGTTGCATACAAATCCAACCCAGTTTTTGGCAGCAGGCATCACTGACACATCCCCAGGCCTAAAAGATGAAGAACAGTGGTGAAGCATATTATTCTCACCTGTGTCAGGAGTGTACAAGTTCCTAAGAGCAGAATTCTGTCTTCTAAGTACCGTTTGAGTGAGTCTTGGTAATCTAGGACTCGTGGGCTTTCAGGAAGCTTGAGCCCTGGCCCAACCTTGATTCTACATGGCTTCAAAGAAGGTCCTCATGACTCTAGATGTCATATTTATGGACTTCACAATGGCATTGCTCTCAGGTTATGCCCTGCTTATAGCATAACTTCTGGTATTCTAAGGCAAGGAGTTCTTGTAATGAAAATATGCAGTGCCATTATTGTTCCCCTCAGAATTCTACATTCAAAGACTCCAAATCTCTCCTTAGTGAATGGTGCTAAGGGAAAAATAAAAGACTGGGATCCCTGGGGAGCTGTAACTATAGAGAAGGAACAAAGTGGATAAAGATCAGCTAAAGGGGTGGGAGATGCTGCCTGCATCTTTCTGGGCTCAGCTTATAGCTTTTCAGATACAAAGTGGAAGAAAAGTTGGCCACTGTGGCCAGATGTCTAAATTGGTCATAGCTGTACATCTTGGATAATCCCTCCTACAATATCAGATGGAATCCCAGACTCTAAACTTCACTTTTCTACTGCCATCCTACTCCATGTCTTTTCCAAAAATGGGGAACGCTGATCAGTATTTTATGCAATGAGATTAGGGAAGCATCCGCTAGACTGCTTTAGCTCCCACATCCTTCATGAGGAAGACAATGACTTCTAGAGGGCTGGCCAGGTAGAGTGTCAGACCAGCAAAAGAGTTCTCCAGACAAGCACAAGCCAGAAATGAAGGAATAGTAATTTAGGAGTACATGGGACTAGGAAGTCATATGTGTCATAGATAGATCAGTTCAAGCAAAAGGAGCTTTGAAATGAGCATGGTCAGCCTCTTTGGAATCTGGTTAGGAAGCCAGGGTCCAGGGCCTTCCATTTGCCAAGGCTTTGTCTCCCTGGCTTGTATCTTGGGTATTGCCTCAATCTTGCCTTTCCTGCCAGGTGAGTTTTCTTTAGAAAAGACTAGACCCTTCTGCTCTCATCATCAGGGCCAGAACTCCTCTCTAGGCCGGTGTTTGGGAGGGTTAGCCCTTAGTAACAGCTGCTGAGAAGAGGAAGGGAGTGGGGACCACACTTCCTCAGCTGTTCAGCAGACCAACTGTGTGTTTCACCATCTTGTGCTCCCATCAGAAAGGTAAAGTAAAGGAAGCTGCCCAGCGCTACCAGTACGCCCTGAAGAAGTTCCCTAGAGAAGGGTTTGGTGAGGACTTGAAAACTTTCCGGGAACTAAAGGTGTCTCTCCTCCTCAACCTGTCTCGGTGTCGCAGGAAAATGAATGTAAGTCCCTGTCACCCCAACTCCTTTTTGCAGTCCTGGAAGCTGATAGCCCACGTCACTCACTAGCTTTTACCAGGCCCCCAAAATCCTCCTCTGCCCCATTTGGAACTTGGTTGTCCTTCACAGAGCACTGACATTTGCAATTTGAAAGAAATCTGAGTCTAAGTACAATCTGTATCTCAAACTGTAAAGAAGTCAATGCTGCGAGTACTTTGCAGCTTTCTGAATGTTCATAATTTCACTGAAAATGATGAGAATACCATCTTCCCCACCCCCATACCACCAAATCAGTGTTCTGGTCTTCGGGAAAATGTGAGAGCAGTGGCCACTAGAATTCCAGTTGCAATTAGATAGGAGTTTAGTCACTACTTTCAGTATATTCTCTTGTCATTTGAAGAAGGGCTAAGAAGAGGGTTGGGGACCATGGTCTTGAAGGTTAATTTCTGAGGCTATTCTTGAACTTTTTGCCTCTTTCCTCATCTTTGTATCCCAGCACACCATGTCCCTTCTTGCCTAGAGGAAATCTCAGAACTCCCCCTGGACCTTTTATCATCTCCCTGGTAGGCCTCGGTCCTTACTGCCTGCCTTACAGACCCATCTCAGATGCCTTCAGCCCCTGCCCCTTCACATAAAGACACTCCAAGCCAAGAACCCGCACTCATATTTTGGAAATAGCTAAGATTGTGTCAGGAGTCTCTGACATCCACCAGCCTGAGGTCTCATAGTTCTTCAGGAGATAAAAATAATCCAAGCCAAACAGATGTGTTGATCAATTAAAAACTCAGCTGGAAAGAAACAAGATTTAAACCTCATGGCCAAAGGTCTTCCAGAAAGATGATTTGTGTGCCTTTAGATTATCCAATCCAGACCCTAAACCCTGACATTGGAAGGAGCCCGAGATAAACCTGACTGTCTCAGAGAACACATCCATAGCCCTCAGGCAGAGTTGTCCCAGGGTGCTGAGGGAAGTGGGGACGTGGGGCCCCCTGGGGAAGGGAGAGGGTGGTAGTCTTGGGAGACAGTGAGGTTCTCATGCCCATGGGGTCTCCCGTAAAATGGAAGGAACAGGACCAAGGCCTCCCCTGGCACCCGCTGGTGAGGACGAGGCACAGCTCAGAAGTTGCTGCCAACCCACTGCTCTCTTTCCCCTACCAAATAACAGACTTTTTAAAAATACCCTCATATTCTCAGGAACAACGATGGTCCCAAAACAACAAATAAAAGGGTAAGGCTGGAAGCAGAGCAGGGACAGAAGGTGACCCATAGAAGATGAAATTCTTTCTAGCTCCACATTTCTTCAGAAGCGGCTAATAATCACCTCCTGGGCCAACACTGCACCCAGCACCAGACGTCTGTCTTCTTAGGTAGAGGATTTCCCATCAACTTTGTAAATTTTTTTTACCTATGCCCCAGGGCCTTTGTTCTGCCCAAGGCCTTGTTTTCTGCCTTAGGAATCATGACTGTAACCAGAGGCTACCAGTACATGCTGTACTGTGGCTCTGACACTAAAAGAAGGGGAAAACCTTCCCATTTAGCTTAGTGTTTAAGGGAATACTAAAAACCATAGACTCTGCCTAATCAGCATTGTTCCCCACCCCATGGTCTCTGTTCCCAAGGTCCCAAAGTAAGGATAGCATCCTGTGAACATCTTCCTCCAGGGATAGCACAGACCTAAGTCACAGCTGGGGCCTTCTCTTGTTTTGTTTTTAAGTGTTTCCTAAGTAAGGAACCGGTTAAGAAAAGGAACAGAGCAGAGAAGCCTCAGTGAAATAGAAAGTGATAATTAATGAGCACCTACTATGTGCCAGGAACTGTGCAATGCTTTTAAATGCTGTATCACACTTGATCCTGCCTCTGGAGTAGGTATAGACAAGAAAATACACAATACGCCCAGGAGTTACGAAGCCAGTCAGAGAATTGAACCCACGCCTGTCTGACACCCCCTCTCCCTCTAGTTTTCCTTTACAGATGTCATCCTCCCGGACTTCACAGGACACCTTCTCACTTGTCCCCTAGAAAGCCAAAGTGCAGTGCGTGTAGCACGAAGGTGTGGGGCTCAGACGAGGGTCCATACGAGGTGTGGACATGGGTGTGTTTGCCTCCTACATGTGTGGATAACTTCAGGAGCTTCACTGGAAAGGGTTGGCGTTTGGCTTCCAGGCTGAGAACTTCATTAGAAAGGCAAAAGGAGGGAAAATTAAAACTACTTTAATATTCCGGGCAGATAAGGACCAGTGAAAAGTCGCAGGGCTACACAGGGCAAAAGCAAAAGGAACTTTCAGCCCACAGGCCCCGCGGCTAGAGCCATGTCAGGCCCACCTAGCGTCCCAGGTGTTCCATCCATAAATGTCAAAAAAAAAAATGTACAAATAATTTGTTTTATTCCCAAGTTGTCTATTTTTTATGTCATCAATGACTCATTTGCACACCTATTGTAATGACAGGATTTTGGAATGGCGGAGGAATTTGCTACTAAGTCCCTGGAGCTGAAACCGAAATCTTATGAAGCTTACTATGCGAGAGCAAGGGCAAAACGCAGCAGCAGGTGAGGAGAGAGAGAGAGGGTGAAAGCAAGAGGTCTCTTCTCTGAAAATTTGGCCAAGGCAGTGTCGGCCACCCTGGGGCATATGTACCCAAACCCATCTCTGTCCTTGAGAACGCTCAGGTCCAGGCTTCGGGGATGGCTGCAACAGTCCAGCCCTCAGCTAGAGATCGGCCAGTCTGCTGGGCTGTGGAGACCACAGATGTTTCCCTTTGGGAGAAAAACACTTTTTCACTGGAGAATGGCAGCTTCTTTCAGGAGGCCTCTGCCATGTCTCAGGCACTTTCCAGCCCCCAAAACAGCTAGCTTAAAGAGACAGCGGTGACTGAAAGAAGTCACTGAAGCAGAACATCCCATCACCCCTTTCAGAGGGAAAAGTAGGATGGGTCACTTAACATCACAGGCTCCTCTTCCTTTTCCTTTAGGCACTTGGGGAATCCCAGATTATTTAGTCTTCCTTCTGGGGCTCTCCTCAAGTCTGGTGGCATCAGACCTCCTTCTCACCTAAATCATCATCACACCACACACACACACACATGGAGTCAGGAGGTCCCTGCTGCCAGGATTGAGAGGACCCAAGAGAACACCATTCCACGTTCCTCATGCCCATCTGCTGTAGTTTGGATACTGGGTAGGAAAGCTCCCCAGAAGATCCTAGAACCTGCTGTCAGTTATCTTTGTCACTGTCTCTTATGCCTCCTGCCCCCACTCTCCTTCTCCCTAGCTGCATGGCAAAGAACTGCTTCAGGTTCACTGCTGTGACCAGGGGCATACGGTCCTGAATATCCCACCCAGGATGAGGCTAGCGATGGTGGCCGCAGTCGCACTCTTATCTAGCTGGGGTAACAAAGTCCTCACAGATGCCTGACTCAAATTCTCTTTCCCTCTGGATCTTTCCTTTTTCACAAGGCCAGTTGTGCCTCTCAGGTGATATTAGTAGAGAAGATGGGAATGTCTCTGACAGTTCATTTCTTCATTGGTAAATTAGAGGCTCCTTGGAGTCAGCTCAGCTCCAGCCCCGAGTGGCCTAGTCAGCAAGCCTAATGCCTGCCCCACTTTGATAGCGCAAATGGAGATGCTGCAGTTCTGTGGGATGAAGGTTAGAAAGGGCGGAGGACAGGGTTCCTGCCTAGAATAGAATAGGCCTGAAATTTGGAGCTAAAATATTGAGAACATAAAGAAAAATTTCTGCTGGATCAGCAAGATTTTTAAATATAGTTATTTTTGTTCCTAAGCTACTTGACAGTGACCCTGTAAATGACAACCCCACCCAACTCATACTGCCTCGTGTGTGTTTGGGCTCTAAAACAACTTCCTGAAGGGCCTGGCTGGACTGGCACAATGGGGACATTTCTCCACTATTCCCAGAGAGGCCAGAAGGAAGATGGAGGCTGAATGGGTTAGGGAATCGTTCGGACTCTTCCAGAATGAGTCTAACCTATTTCCTTCCCTACAAATCAAACCAAACCAAAACACCCCAGACTCCCACAGACACCACCACAGTTCTCTGAGATAGTGACCGTGTTCTCAGCTCTCGGTGAGTTCTCTGGATTCAGAATAACTCCAGTTCCTGTGTTCACATTTTGTCAAGCAGACAGTTTGCAGCAGCCTTAGAGGACCTGAACGAGGCCATCAAGCTGTGTCCAAACAACCGTGAGATCCAGAGACTTCTGATGAGAGTGGAAGAAGAGTGTAGACAGATGCAGCAGCCACAGCAGCCGCAGCCGCAGCCGCCCCCGCCACAGCCTCAGCAGCAGTTGCCGGAAGAAGCAGAACCTGAACCACAGCATGAAGACATATACTCTGTACAGGATATATTTGAGGAGGAGTACCTGGAGCAGGATGTTGAAAATGTTTCCATTGGCCTCCAGACAGAGGCCCGGCCCAGCCAGGGGCTCCCAGTCATCCAGAGCCCACCCTCTTCTCCCCCGCATCGGGACACAGCCTACATCTCCAGCTCCCCTCTTGGCTCTCATCAGGTTTTTGACTTCCGGTCCAATAGTTCTGTAGGCTCGCCCACTAGACAGAGCTATCAGTCCACCTCACCTGCCCTTTCTCCAACTCATCAGAACTCACATTATAGGCCTAGCCCACCACATACTTCCCCAGCTCATCAGGGAGGATCTTACCGCTTCAGCCCCCCTCCTGTGGGAGGGCAGGGCAAAGAATACCCAAGCCCTCCCCCTTCCCCTCTCCGAAGAGGCCCTCAGTATCGGGCCAGCCCTCCAGCCGAAAGTATGAGTGTCTATAGATCCCAGTCTGGTTCACCCGTGCGCTATCAGCAGGAAACAAACGTCAGTCAGCTTCCTGGCAGACCCAAATCTCCATTATCCAAAATGGCCCAGCGGCCCTACCAGATGCCTCAGCTCCCTGTGGCAGTTCCCCAGCAAGGGCTCAGGCTACAGCCTGCCAAGGCCCAGATTGTGAGAAGTAACCAGCCCAGCCCAGCCGTCCATTCAAGCACTGTCATCCCCACTGGAGCCTACGGTCAAGTAGCCCATTCAATGGCGAGTAAATACCAGTCTTCACAAGGAGACATGGGAGTCGGCCAGAGCCGGCTGGTTTATCAAGGGTCAATCGGGGGAATTGTAGGGGATGGGAGGCCAGTGCAGCATGTCCAAGCCAGCCTGAGTGCAGGCGCCATCTGTCAGCATGGAGGCTTGACCAAAGAGGATCTTCCACAGCGACCTTCCTCAGCATACCGAGGTGGCGTGAGATACAGCCAGACACCACAGATCGGACGCAGCCAGTCAGCATCCTATTACCCAGTCTGTCACTCAAAACTAGATCTGGAGCGTTCCCCCAGCCAACTAGGTTCCCCTGACGTGTCACATTTAATCAGAAGACCTATTAGCGTCAACCCTAACGAAATCAAACCCCACCCGCCAACTCCCAGGCCGCTGCTGCACTCCCAAAGTGTAGGCCTTCGCTTCTCGCCATCTAGCAATAGTATCTCCTCCACCTCCAACCTAACTCCGACCTTCCGGCCATCTTCTTCCATCCAGCAAATGGAGATCCCACTGAAACCGGCGTATGAGAGGTCATGTGATGAGCTGTCGCCAGTGTCTCCCACTCAAGGAGGTTACCCCAGTGAGCCCACCCGATCCAGGACCACACCATTCATGGGGATCATCGATAAAACAGCACGGACTCAGCAGTACCCCCACCTCCACCAGCAGAATCGGACCTGGGCAGTGTCGTCCGTGGATACCGTCCTGAGTCCCACGTCTCCAGGCAACCTGCCTCAGCCCGAGTCCTTCAGTCCACCATCATCCATCAGCAACATTGCCTTTTATAACAAAACCAACAATGCACAGAATGGCCATTTGCTGGAGGACGATTATTACAGCCCCCATGGGATGCTGGCTAACGGGTCTCGCGGAGACCTCCTAGAGCGAGTCAGCCAGGCCTCCTCGTATCCCGATGTGAAGGTAGCTCGGACTCTACCTGTGGCTCAGGCATACCAGGACAACCTGTACAGGCAGCTGTCCCGAGACTCTCGGCAAGGGCAGACATCCCCTATCAAACCAAAGAGACCGTTTGTGGAGTCTAATGTTTAAAAGACGTTTTGTTGGAGTGAGACCCGTATGTTTTCACTGCACATTTTCAGGCTTGGTTTCCACATTTGAGGTAGTTCTCTGGCTTAATTTCTCATGTAGTTTCTGTGTGGTGTTCAGAGGTGGCAGCGCACATGCTGAAATCCTTTGCATGCAGCCGACTGGGAAGCTGGCCTCCAGTGAGCCAGAACTTCAGTTTCTCTTGTCTGTGCCCAGCCACATGCTCTCTCCCTCTCTTCAGATGCCAACGAGGAGATTTTTGTGCCGTGTGCTTTAACCCAGGGAGATCAGACACACTGGTCAGCTTTTTCCAGGAGACAATCGCTTTCACTGATGTTGTTGTGTAAATGTCTTTTTCCTTTTTTAAAAAATAAGGTGTTCTTGTTTTATTCTAGAAACTTTAGAAAAGTGTGTGTTGCCCCTTTGCCTTCGCGTTCTTAGCCAGTGGCACCCACAGCCAGCCGCAGCGCATTCTCCCCAGACCACCAGCTCCCCGCAGCCACCAGGTCTACAATGTGCATTAGGAAGAGTGCTGGTCTTTCTAGAGGGGTAAAAGGAAGAGAGAGAGAGAAGTCTGCTAAATTGGAAGAAAACCCCAATATAATTATGTGAAATGTCACTACATTGACTTTCCAAGAGGCATTTTAGGAACATTTAAAAAACAACCAGCCCTTTAAATAGTGCAGTCAGCCAAGGAAATTAGATGAGAATTGTGGCTTTTTTAAGGGAATTCACTGAAAGTTATTCTCTAGGTTTTTAGCCAACAATTAACCACTAAAAGCTGCTGCTTTTTCAGGGTAGGGGAGGGAATAAATACATTAACAAAAATGATTGTTCTGGATTCTTGATGAAAGGCTATGAGAAGTCCGTCCTGGTGACATATACTTTTTAGGTCCTGATACATCACTGTCATTCTCCACAAAAAGGAAACTCTTCCCGAAGGCTGGCTGGTGCGAAAGTCTCGTTAGCTGGATCTTCACCTAGAGCCATATTTTGTTCTACTGGCCCTCCTTCTTTCAACCCTGGTGGTATCATACAAAAATTGGTTTTTCAGAAGCAGATTGGAATCTCTTGGAACCAAAAGACTGATTCCAGCATTTCCACCCAGGGCCAGGCCAGTCGTCGTCTAATTCCGTTTTGAGGTGTGTGGTTTTATTACTATTACAGGAACAATTTCTTTTCTTCTAGGAGTATTTAAGAGTGTGATATTTTAAAGTCAGACACAGCAAAAAGTGTTTCAGGGTGAAGAAAGACCCCTTTCAGCCTGTTTTCTAGTCCTGGGTGGGGACATGAGCTGGACCGCAAGCTTCTGATCTGGCCACTCTACACATTTTCTAGGTCTCGTGGTCATTTGGTAGGCTGACCTTCGAGTAAGTGAGGCCACCATTGAGAGGATAGCAGGAATACAGAAACCAAACCCTTAGCACAGGCCTGGTACTAGCTGTGTATCAGCTCTTACAACTGAACAACTCAACCCAACAAACTAAGCAACTAAAGCAAAACAAAGCAGCATTAGTTCTCTGTTACAGGAATCCTTCTGCTCTGTTAGTAAAGGGCTGCAGGAAGGGCAGTTTCCTGAATAAACATCCAGCTATGACCAGACGCATTTGTAATAGTACGTGCCCTCTGAAGGGGTCACTAAGACACAGGGAGCATGAACCTGAGATCAGAACCATTTCTTTACTAATTCAGATTCTGCCAAATAGACGGACCTCTTCACCCCCAAACCTAAAACAGGCCAGGACTTGTCTCTTTGTGCTGGAAGCAAACAGCTGGGCTAACTCAAGCCCCGGCCTCTTCCCACTCTCCCTCCTGCCTGAGGACTGGTCATCTCAGCTAGACCAGGGTGGGCCTCAGCATCCTCTCCCATCTCTGCGGCCTTCTCTGTCTCACATCAGGAAGATGAAACGTGTAGCTCTAGCGGCAGCCTCTAGCCAGGAGCCAGTGGCCTCTCAGATCCCTTTTGGCTGGCTCTCAGCACTGCTGGCCTCTGCATCTTATTCCTTATATCCGCCTCTCCCTGAGGAGCCATTGCGTTTTGAAGAATTTCTCAGTGTCTGTTAGAAAAGTGCCCCTGTTCATTTGGAACACCACATATCCACCCATCACATGTCCAGGCGAATGAGCAGGTCCTGTAGCTTTACAAATATGCCACTGATGCCACTTGTCCCCAGGGTCTCTCAGTTTTCCAGGACAAAAAGGAGATTTAGAGTCTATACCGTATTGGGCAAAACACCTAAAATGTCAACAGTCAGATGCACTTTTTTTTGCCATCATAAGAGGAAGTATCATTTTTGCCATTATAAGAGGGAGTAAGTATCACTGCTGCGTGCCCGTTGTTTTTGACTAGAAAATGCCAACCAGAGCTTGTTGGGGCGGGAGACATTTTTCCTTATAAGCAGACTGCCTGTGCCCTGTTTGCTACTTCACTGCCATGGGACGATCTGAGTACTGTATTTCAGAGCTGCCCCTTCCCCAGCAGCGAACACTCGCTGAGTCCTTGTCTGGCTTTAGGTGGGAGGAAATGTTTCAGACGAAACTGGTAAGTTCCACTCACTCAAGTCCTATCACCCTGAAATGAGGACAGAGGTGACAAACTTCTGCTTAACAGGTCTCTCACCAAATTGTATGTTCCATTTGCCCAGAATTCTTGCACTAATGGGTTTCTATCACATCATGTCTATAAATGGGTGCACTTTACTGTTTGAATTTGTAACTCTGATAAATACTGGATATTTAAGTGTGAGTAATGTCTTCATTAGAAAATAGCAGAACCGCTCTTGTCTTTTAGTGTATTTTTCAAGAAAAAAAAAATAAGGAAAAGAAAGACATCAAGCAGTGGATCACAACATTTATAGCACAAGAAATAACTGTTGTATATAAGCATCAAAAAGATTAAGAATTTTTTAATACAAAAAATATTTGCAGTGATTTTAAAGTGCTTTTCCAGCAATGTTCTTAGGGACTCCTGAGACACGGTTACTTTATCTACTGGATCAGTAAGGCACACAATTAACAATTAACAATTAATGTTTATTTACAAAGTAAAGGGAAAACCTGTGTAACATGAGAATTTGGCATGACAAAATGGAGACCATTTTGTATCTGCTGTTGTATCTTGTCCGGGTTGCAGACGTGCACTATTAAAGTCCCAAGTTAATAGAGCACAAACCCTTCTCGTTCCTCTCCCACGTGCCCCTCTTTTTAGATGTGTATAACTTAAACTCGATGGCTCAGGAAAATCCCATTAATTAGAATCATGTACAGTACCCCAGGTTGTTGTCCAGATATACAAGTTTGTTAATGTAGTTAAGCCTGGATTATTAAACACTTTTCCTAAATTATTGTAAACAGAACAGCTTAGAGAAAGGTATTCTCAGTCCTTATATTGTATAGTAGTTTATGAACCCCTCTCTAAATATTGGTATTTTTATATTCCAGAGATGTACCCAATAGAAAAATTAAAAAATAATCGGTATCTAATTTAATATCCATAAGTATTTTTCCTTAGATTTTAGTCATATACAGTGGGCTATGTGGACGTCACGTGTGCTTCACCGCAGTTTACCACTAGGTGTCACTGTGGCTCTGCACGGCGCTTGTTTTGTAGCAAAGAACCGCAGCATCTCAGGAGAGAGGAGCTGCTTCCAGGGCAACAGGCAGGCATGCTCAGAAGTTCAGGAGAAGGGAACAGAGGCCTGGAAGGGGTCTTCATGCATCCATGCCCGTTGTGCAAGGCGAACTCTTGGAACACTACATGCTTTGGACTTCAGCCAGGCAGAGGCTGGGAGAAGGCTGACCAGAGCTCCCTCGCTCTGGTGGAGGGATGGGTACATGGAGAAGCCTCTTCTTCCCCATGAGCCTCCCTCTTCTCAGTTCCTCTCAGCCTCCAGCTTTTATCACTACAGAAGCGTCACAGTTGGGTGGTTTGATTCAGAGATAGTTATTTTTCTACTGCAGAAATGCCTTGGACAAAACCAGTGCTCACTGAATCTTTGCCACAAAATGGAACAGGCTATCCCAAGGGGCAAGAGGTGCCCACCCCTGTGCCCGGCCTCCTCTTGATGCTCCCAGTGCCCAGCAGCCTCACCCACCCTGCCTGTCTGTTCCTGGGCTGTCCTTTTCTCAAGAAAGCGACCTGCAAAGGCAGCCGGCTGCTGCCTGCACACCGAGGGCTGTGTGGTCCTGCTGCTTGCTCACTGGGAGGTGCGGCTCTTTCTCCTCTTCCTCTAGGAATTCCAGACTGACCATCCACCATGACTAACAACAACGAACAAAGGGCTTAGGGGTAAGAGCTACCTACAAAGACGTGTCATGGAACCCTTCACCATGCAATGCCTTGAACTCAGCTCTGGCTGCTCCCAAGAAAAGGTGGCTGGCTGGGGGCCCGGACACAAGCACAATGGGGCTGGTGGAGCCACTGTGCAGCGCTACTTGAATAATCACTGGGTTTTCATCAACTCCTTTTGTCATACAGACCACTCAAGGGCTGAAGTGTTGGTAACCTTCATTTCGGTGTCCAAAGCCTCACAGCAGCTGAGCCACCCTCAGGTGGTGGCCACAGTCAGAGCTTTGAAAGTTAGTACCAAATGAACGCATAATTGGACACCAAAAATCAAGTGTTACTTTCATGTTTCCTCACCCCTATCATCTCATTGCCTCCTGCTGACTCTGATTCCGACGCTGAGCTGACCTGCCAGGCTGCCGCTGGATGCTAGAGATGCAGGCCAGCGCCACGCTCGTTTTTCCAGATAGACCTACTCTGTGGAACGGAAGTGCCCTAGCTGCTTTGTTTTTGTAGCACTTGCTGGCTGAATTTTTCTTTTGCTAATTGCTAACCAGAAAGTCTGGTTAGATGGGGCTCAACTCACTCCCTTTAGTCCCCAGAGCCAGACAAGAGTTAATTCTGGAAAATTCAGTACTTGAATGTACCTGCCTTATTGCATACCAATTTACTGGGGGGAAAAAATAGTTAGAGATGCCGGCTCCAGATCTCCACTTCATTCACAGGTTATTTTGGAAATCCTGTAAGTTACACTTCCTGTTCTGGTTTTGTTTTGGCTTTTGTTTCCTTTGGCTGATTCCTGCTGAGTGAGGCCAGTTCCTCATCAGGCTCAGGGCAGGTGCCGTTTTCCGGCATGGCCTCCTTTCCATCTAGCACAGCATCTTTGTCTCTGTTCTGTCTCCTCCAAATCCAAGATGATTTTCATTAGTACAGACATGTACAGTCTACAGTTAAAGAGTGATTTGTACTAATATGATTTTGATTCTTCCTCCTCTTTGCTGTCCTTTCAAGACACTTGCTGGAAAAAGCTTTAATGCACTTAGTTTTCCTTTAGGTTTTCTATGACTCAGATGTAAAGGACTTTCTCTGTACAGTATATTACCCAATGCATGTTTGTTCTCTATCCTAATATATTGAACACCACACAGTTGTGAACTCGTGCAGTGGGGATGACCCACACCCAACAGAGGCATCTAGCCCCCTGTGTAAAAGGAAAGACATTTTCCTTTGCTGTACTTGCTTGAGCAGTTTTCTTGTCTGTACATGTGAGCTGTGAGAGATAGATGTGAAAAGTTCAAATGAATGCATTTTCCTGCCCCATGTATACAGATTATCATCTGTACAATGAACTGTATGTATGAAAGCAAATGTACTTATTTATAAATGGCTAACACTTGGAAAAACATGGTGGTGTGATGCTTTTCTCCTTCTGTTACAATCTCTTCAGGGAGTTGGCTTTTACACTGGCCCTCCTGAGGATGCCATGATGGGGGAGGCACCTTCCCCCAGGAGGAATTGGGCAGGTTAGGGCTAA